TAGAATGCCGGTAGGTCGATGCCTCGAAGTGAGGCCGGACCAGTACTAAGTACTGGTTCGAAGAGGACCGGCCTCACTGCTGCGAGGCCTTGGTTGGGGCTGAACCGTCCAGATCGACGATTCAGGTCCAACCGGAGAGCGGCGGCCTCAAAYRGCGCCGTCAGGCCCAAAGACGAAATGTCATTTGGGCCTGGTCCGTAGTCGGGTCCAAGTCGTGGCCTTTCGGCCTGTTATCCCCCAAGGTCGGGCCTTTAGGCCCTGATGTGTCCCTCTAGCCCTAAGTCGGGTCCGGTAGGACCCGTGTGGCGTCAAAGATGTAACAGATGGATAGTATTTGTCCCCAGGTGACACATGCCCAGTTGGGCAATGTGTATGGAGCCAAGGATCCGCAAAGTGATGAAAAGGACTGAAATTGACAATGCAATGTCAGAGAAGCATCAACAAGCAATGTACATCTCGATACATACAGAAAGCCACAATGCAGTGCAGTGGAAGACTCAAATATAAGACCTGACCTGTCGGAGACTGACGCGACATCCCATCATACACCACACATGTGAGAGGAGGAGGAGGGACCACATACATAAAAGAAAGGTCCCTCCTTGTGCACGCACATGGGGGAGTTACCACAGATGAGAGATCGGGGGAGAGGAGAGATGAAGAAGGAGGCGAGGGAGAAGACCAAGATCGCAATAGCGAAGTCCAAAAATGTTGAATCAGATCCTGGGCTATATGCCCAATGTAACCTCTGCCTGTAATCTCTCTCGCTCTCTCTCTTTGAAGAAGAAGAAGAAGAAGAAGAAGAAGAAGAAGAAGAAGAAGAAGAAGGAAGAAGGAGAGAGGAGGAAGGAGGGAGACGAGAGGGAGACGAGACGAACAAGAAGAAGAAGATGTCGTCCTCCTCGCTGTCTCACCTGCAGGTAAGCGCCGCCGATGCTGACCTCCGCTATGTCGTCATCATGTGCAGGTTGGCGCGCGTGCCGAGCCCCAGCAATGGCGCCAGGTAGGTCCGCTATTGCAGGTATGGCCTCTGCCCCTCCTCTACCTACGCGTCTACTTCTACAACCTGGGCGCAGCGCTAAGCAGCACAGCACCAGTCCAGCAGCGTGTCGCTTGAAATGGTTTCCACCTAGTCGCGTGACAGGCGCAGATCCTAGGGCTCGATCCCTAGACCTGTCCCCCTACCCATGTACAGTATCCGTCGACCCTGTGTGTTTGAACCTGCGACCTACCCCTGAAAG